GTTCCTATTATGATGTGTATGTTAATACATGACTGTTCCCATCATGTTATGTATGTTACTACATGCCTGTTCCCATCATGTTGTGTATGTTACTACATGACGCTTCCTAGCATATGGTGTATGTTACTACAATACTGTTCCCATCATGTTGTGTATGTTTCTACATGACTCTTCCTATCATGTTGTGTATTTTACTACATGACTGTCCCATTATGTTTAGTTTGTTACTACATGACTGTTCCCATCATGTTGTGTGTGTTACTACAATACTGTTCCCATCATGTTGTGTATGTTACTACAATACTGTTCCCATCATGTTGTGTATGTTTCTACATGACGCTTCCTATCATGTTGTGTATTTTACTACATGACTGTCCCATTATGTTTAGTTTGTTACTACATGACTGCTCCCATCATGTTTAGTTTGTTACTACATGACTGTTCCCATCATGTTGTGTATGTTACTACATGACTGTCCCATCATGTTGTGTATGTTTCTACATGACGCTTCCTATCATGTTGTGTATGTTACTACATGACTGTCCCATTATGTTTAGTTTGTTACTACATGACTGTTCCATCATGTTGAGTTTGTTACTACATGATTGTTCCATCATGTTGTGTTTGTTACTACATGACTGCTCCCATCATGTTTAGTTTGTAACTACATGACTGTTCACATCATGTTGTGTATGTTATTACATGACTGTCCCATCATGTTGGGTATGTTTCTACATGACGCTTCTCCCATCATATTGTGTATGTTATTACATGACTGTCCCATCATGTTTAGTTTGTAACTACATGACTGTTCACATCATGTTGTGTATGTTACTAAATGACTGTCCCATCATGGTGTGTATGTTTCTACATGACGCTTCTCCCATCATATTGTGTATGTTATTACATGACTGTCCCATCATGTTGGGTATGTTTCTACATGACGCTTCCTATCATGTTGAGTATTTTACTACATGACTGTCCCATCATGTTTAGTTTGTTAATACATGACTGTTCCCATCATGGTGTGTATGTTACTACATGACTGCTCCCATCATGTTTAGTTTGTTAGTACATGACTGTTCCCATCATATTGTGTATGTTATTACATGACTGTTCCAATCATGTTGTATATGTTACTACATGACTGTCCCATCATGTTTAGTTTGTTACTACACGACTGTTCCCATCATGTTGAGTTTGTTACTACATGGCTGTTCCATCATGTTGAGTTCGTTACTACATGACTGTTCCATCATGTTGTGTTTGTTACTACATGACTGATCCCATCATGTTGTGTATGTTATTACATGACTGTTCCCATCATGCTGTGTATGTTACTACATGAATGTTCCTATTATGATGTGTATGTTAATACATGACTGTTCCCATCATGTTATGTATGTTACTGCACGCCTGTTCCCATCATGTTGTGTATATTAATACATGACTATTCCAATCATGTTGTGTATATTACTAAATGACTGTTCCCATCATATTGTGTCTGTTACTACATGACTGTTTCTATCATGTTTAGTTTGTTATTACATGATTTTTCCGATCATGTTGTTTATGTAACTAAATGACTGTTCCCATCATATTGTGTATGTTATTACATGACTGCTCCCGAGATGTTGTGTATGTTACTACATGACTTTTACAATCATATTATGTATGTCACTACATGACTGTTCCCATCATGTTATGTATGTTACTACATGACTGTTCCATCATGTTGAGTTTGTTACTACATGGCTGTTCCATCATGTTGTATATGCTACTACATGACTATTCCCATCATGTTGTATATGTTACTACATGACTGTTCCCATCATGTTGTATATGTTACTACATGACTGTTCCCATTATGTTGAGTTTGTTATTACATGGCTGTTCCATCATGTTGTATATGTTACTACATGACTGTTCCCATCATGTTGTATATGTTACTACATGATTGTTCCCATCATATTGTATATGTTACTACATGACTGTTCCTATTATGTTGAGTTTGTTAATACATGACTGTCTATCATGTTGAGTTTGTTACTACATTGCTGTTCCATCATGTTGAGTTTGTTACTACATGGCTGTTCCATCATGTTGTATATGTTACTACATGGCTGTTCCCATCAACTACATGAATGTTCCTATTATCTGTTCCCATCATGTTATGTATGTTACTACATGACTGTTCCATCTATGTTGAGCTTGCTACTACATTGCTGTTCCATTATGTTGAGTTTGTTACTACATGGCTGTTCCATCATGTTGAGTTTGTTACTACATGGCTGTTCCCATTATGTTGAGCTTGCTACTACATTGCTGTTCCATTATGTTGAGTTTGTTACTACATGGCTGTTCCATCATGTTGTATTTGTTACTACATGAGTGTTCCCATCATGTTATGTATGTTACTTCATGACTGTTGAGTTTGTAACTACATTGCTGTTCCATCATGTTGTGTTTGTTACTATATGGCTGTTCGAATCATGTTGTTTATGTAACTACATGACTGTTCCCATCATGTTATGTATGTTACTACCTGACTGTTCCCATTATGTTGAGTTTGTTACTACATGGCTGTTCCATCATGTTGAGTTTGTTACTACATGGCTGTTCAATCATGTTGTGTATGTTACTACATGGCTGTTCCCATTATGTTGAGTTTGTTACTACATGACTGTTCCCATTATGTTGAGTTTGTTACTACATGGCTGTTCCATCATGTTGAGTTTGTTACTACATGACTGTTCCATCATGTTGTGTTTGTTACTACATGACTGTTCCCATCATGTTGTGTATGTTACTACATGGCTGTTCCCATTATGTTGAGTTTGTTACTACATGACTGTCCATTATGTTGAGTTTGTTACTACATGGCTGTTCCATCATATTGAGTTTGTTACTACATTGCTGTTCTATCATGTTGAGTTTGTTACTACATGCCTGTTCCCATCATGTTGAGTTTGTTACTACATGGCTGTTCCATCATGTTGTGTTTGTTACTTTATGACAATTCCCTTGATGTTGTATATGTTACTACATGACTGTTCCCATCATATTGTCTTTACTATATGTCTGTTCCACTCATTTTGTGTCTGTTATTACATGACTATTCCAATTATGTTGAGTTTGTTACTACATGACTGTTCCCTTCTTAATTTTTTGCATTTATTTACAACATTACCGTTCCCACAAGAAAAATAACAAGTCAATAATATCTGAGACATATTCTAGCTCTGTACAGGTTATGAGCAATGTTTGTAAACACGAGTATATATAAACAATTTTATGCTATATTGTTTACAAAAATACACACTTCACTAATACCAAGTTTCAGAGTGTTTGAAATGTTTAACTCACACCTATTGTTCTGTACACATTAGCAAAATCACAGGTATGTTTTGTTGATCTACTCTCCTCAACACTGTGTGGAGATACTTATTATATTCAGAGACCTAAGGGACCGCCGACTCCCAATGGCGGGAAAATATGTTACCGATTTCGCAGTGCCCTCACCGGGTGTCATACAATATCAAGGCCGGTAACTCGTACCGTCTATTCGCCATTGGTAAACACTCGAGTGCTGTCGATAGAAATTTTGTTAAGCATCGATTTCACACAACATGAATTAAACGAACTGTTTGAGGTATATGTGTTATTCTAATATTATATTCCCACACCTGAAATAGAAAAAAAACAATACCTAAAGCATTATTCGTGGTCAATAACATAATGTTCACGAAGCAGCCGAGTCGGTTTTTTTCAGTTTTTAGTCTTCGGTTTCACTTTCACTTCACCGGTCAGGTGCCGTTCTGGTGATAACCTCTTGTGAGAACATTCGCCTATTTTGTATGTTAATACTTGTCCACAATATATTTGTAATCAATGCACCCACATGTACAAGCTCACAAGTACACATGCCGTGATGATGATGGTTCCCTTGTTGACTCACTCTCTGGTTCTGGCCCAGGTCCTGGACAGCAATATAAATAAACCATCTTGGACACGTCCCGTGTATACTTTAGGCCATGTTGCTTTATGTTTTCAAAATTAATCATAAGAATAAGAAAGCAGATATTGATAATCAGATTATTGTTTTTGTTGCACATAATCTCATAAATTTATAATATGAAATTAACGGTAACAACTTAAATATAACATTTTTGTCTTCTCACTTATTTTTTATGACATACAGCTTCATACTCAGCCTCTAACAAACATGTGACATCATATAAAATTATAATAATGTAAACAAATGAGTCATTACAATAACAAGTACCGTGTCATCATTTGAAGTACAAAGATATACTTTTTAAATTAAATAAAAACAACTAAATCACGACCACATGTTTACCTATATTACACTTGTCACTGTGCAGAGGATTCCACTAAAATTGCATACAGGTCTGTTAATAACAGCCAAATCCACCCTTGCCGTATATAATAAAAGATTTTAATATTATAATAATAATGGACGTTATTTACCCTCGGTTACCATCTTGAGCCATCAGTTCTTTTTCAGAGATGGCCGAGCGGGAATAGTATTTAAACAATATTTTCCTTTAATTTACAGGAGACGGGGAATTTTATTATTTATACCTACACAGGTTTTTTTTATGATGGAGAAAACAATAGGACTGAGAAAACCATCATGTCACCAGAGAGATCTAGCAGGAATCTCTATAGACATCCTAAACACTATATCGGTCTATTGCTCTCTGGCGGTCACGCACCACTGAACTACCTTGTCCATGCATTATACCACCGAACCACTGGGACACCCGAAATATTGACTTTTGAAAGTATACATAATTACATATCTGATAAGTGATTTATTAATTGACCTGTGAACAAATTCCTGGTCAGGTCTGTATAGTTGCATGTGAACCTTTAAAGTTATCGCTAAAAGTCAATAATTGTACTATAATGTTGTATTTGCACAGAATTATAAATAACAACATTCCAATAACTTTCTACATGTATCTCTATTATAGCAGGAATTTGAATCAACCACTGATCCCGTCGACGACACCTTGCCCAAAGAAAAAGCGAAAAACATAGTGAAAGTTGATCGTGACCTAGTAAAGAAAGTCACTAACCTCGTCATAGTTGACCCCATTATTCCTGACAGCATTAAGGAGATCATACTTCTATCAACCGTAAATATTACTGTATACTGGGAAACGTCTGCCCGGTATTAACTTTTGCCCACAATGGTAAACACAACACTAGGACTAGCGTTTGACGACAAAGCAATATTTTATATATATATATATATATAGACGATGGCAGTGTGTAAAGAGGTATGGCGGAAGGAAAACATTTTGGGTACAAAAGATACAAAACCAATTGAATATGAATTTTGAAACTGCTGAGAAATTAGGTACAGTACATTTCACCTAATATCACGTCTGTTAATGTCTATTTTCGGTTATTATCATGTTTTTTTGATGCACCGTTTTTCCTGCTATTTAATCTATGCAATTCAATTCTTTTATTATCACCTGATTTTATGTTGATTTCTCTTAATATCACTTTGTTTTGGCCACTGCCACAAAAAAAATACAGGTAAATGGTGGTAATGATCATTTTGCTACTTAACAATATGNGGGCAGTCTAACATCTGTAAACTTTTCTAATGCCAAGTGTGATGTATTCTTTCAACTAATTATAACATGTGTAACTATCTTCGATTACACACTTGCAGCAAATATCTAAGGAAATTAACCCATAAAAAGATGTTACTAGAGAAAGAACAGTATATATATCAAGATATAGGTAAATATTTACCAAGTCTCATGTTTACAATTGAATTTGATGCAGAATACCAGCCAAACACTTGTATGCCTACATCACTACTGCAGTAAACAATCATAATTACAATCGTACTGATCGTCATTTTGCTACTTAACAATATGAAATGTAACTGCGTACTGAAATGAAATACAAATAATAAATTTATTTCTATACTTATATCTATATTTCAACTAGGGTAAAGAACAAGGTTAGTTACAAAATATCAATCTTCTTCATAGAGCCACATCACTTAGGCATTTGACTAAGTTCACTTCCGGTTTTGAGGGTTGAAAAACATCAGGAAATATGTATTCTGTTTATGTCATGTTTCGGTTAATATCATGTTTTTCTCTGACAAATGAGAAGTGATATTAAGAGGAATCTAATGTATTGCTAATATGATACTGCAAATATAGCCAATTTTTTTTACTTTCAACACTTTCCCATCCGAGGACCAACTTTGAATAAACCTTTTGTGACCGTGATGTAATTTGCAAAAACAAATCGTATTACGGAAAAGTGGTCCTCCTTTGGGAAAGTGCTCAAATAATGAAAAACAGGGGTGATCAAGTTTCTCTGAACTGCGAACGGTGTTTCTCGGGTTAAATCAGTTTGTAATTGCCAATATCTATATGTTATATGTAGCCGAATGTGTAACGCAGTTTACTTGCGACTAGAAAATAAACGGTGCAGGTTCGAATCCTCCTTTAGTTATTTTTTTTAAAAATATTTAGGCATGTGATCATATTCCTTAATAAGGCAATAGTTTGTTTTTTTAAATCGATGGAACTTTTTTTTGTTTTCATTTTAATGACATACCTATTGATTTACCAGTTTTATTAGTAATAATTTCTTTATTATTTAGTTTAGTGCGACATACTTTTATCGAAGCATGTCAACAAATCCCTGTATACGTGTACAGGACAGCTACGCTTTGTAGGTAAGACTAATTTTGATGAAATTTATGAATTGTTTTACCCTCCAACTGGCAATAGTAATTATGTCAAGTGCTTAAACACCAACAAATAATGCCGAAATACCAAATATGTGGTCTATTTATAATTATCAATTTTTAGACACGGGATTCCGATATTGCTACCTGTATAAAAATACCTGAGGACGCGTCATAACAGTGCACGGTTGGATGAGCGCACTAGCGTAACATAGCTTTAGGGAAATGGGCATAGCAACCCGCCATATCTCTTTAACACTGGGCGAGAAAAGGATTGTATCATCACTTATGTGAGGGCTTGTTTACTGCCGAGCGAACGTTTCCCCGTATACAGTCAGTAAAAAAGGTTCTCATTCAGTGACATTATTTAAATACTATAAATTTATACAATATCAAAAGAAAAAAACAATCATTGTATTTTATTTTTATAATCCTAAGTTATTCATCAACAAGTAAACAAATCATATTTTGATATTAAACCTAGACTTTTTCAATCATGTAATAGAAGGCAACTTGGCTCAAAATGGGCCGAACAAATGTGCATGCTGTCAGGGTTTAACCCCGAATCACACCGACTTACGGCTGCTATCAATGTTGACCGCCATTCTGCATCTTTGGGAAAGCCAAAGTAATTAATACTCTGTCCCAATTTCTTAGTGGAGTACGACAGTGTTTGCCACCCATTGTTTTACCCCTGGAGCAAACCGGAATTTGCTTCCTATACCACCCGGTAGGGGCGCTGCGAACATCGGGAAGCTCCTTGGTTGATTATAGAGCGTGACGTCATGGAGTCGGCGGTCCCGTTAATTTAGGTCTATGTTATATTACAGCAAATTATAAATAAAATAACAAGTTAATAATATCTGAAACATGTCATTTATTCGATTAATACATGTACTGGCGTATATTGTTCCACAGGTTTAGGACCTGAACATCCTGTGTCTAATTTAAATCCTATTTACATACAAAGGATAAAAAGAGGAGTTGCTGTTATTGGTTTTTAGATGCTCGATGATATTACGAAAACTGATTTATATAAGTTTGTTTGGGGTTTTTTGATATTATATTTTTTTTCAGTTGATATGAGAGAAAAAATGGCAAATTGACTGTTAAACACGTGCCATTCGGGTTGTTACAGATATACTAAGGAAAATTTCACAGAATGGCGTCTGAACAAGTGAAAGATCTTCATAATAAAATGGTGGATACTATAAGCGAAATGTTAGTTTATAAATCTGACTGCTGGGATCGTCTTCTTGGCAAGTTAAACAATAGTCCACTGACCCCGAAAGACAAGGGGTTAATCAATTCCATACAGGATCTGTTTGAAGGTCTCATGGATAAGGAATACATCGGATATGGTGACTATGAGAAATTGAGGAAAAAAATGAGTGGAATTCACAACCTTGCGGCAACTGAAGTAATGAAATATGAAAAAAGGATACAGAGACAGATTGAAATGGATGAAGAAGGTAAACACAACATCCAGATCATTTTTGTTCTGTGCCATTATGTTATATGCAGATGTAAATGCTGTACCAATCTAATTAAAATTATATCTTCACATCGCTCCCGTTTTCTGATATGTCGCGTTGAAGATCACGGGAGCGATGTGAAGATATAATTTTAATTAGATTGATGCTGTACCAACTTGTATTTATATAATAAGTTCAGAACAGATAAAATATAGTTTTTACTTAAGCGATAAAAACGTAAAGGTTGTTTGTTTTTCGCGACTACATGTATTGTTTTGAGATTATGCAATAAGTTATTGCTCGATTCCTACATATACATGTATGTATGTAGATATTATATGCGTTATATATTATTATATGGATTTATTAAAATTCCAAACGACACTGAATAAAATGTATTACTTCCTCTTTCTGTAAACTACTTTATTCCATTATTTGGCATAATTTGAGAATAATTATGTTCGTGGTCGTAATGTTTAATACCGGTATATTTTGCGCTCCAACTTATAGTTGTATTCCTATTTGTAACTGTGAGCGTTTTCTATACAGGTTTTCGTATTCATGTTATTTTGAACATTGTATTTTTATATAAAGAATCACGGAAAATCGGGAAAAGAAGAAGGTCGGAAAACGAAGAAGAAACTGGACGAAGACAGGAAGACCACAGAGCGAGGAAGAGAGTCAGACGTGAATCTTTAGGTTCTAACAGGTGAATAAGGTTACGTCAAAGGTTTTCTTATCAACCGTAGTCTAGATATACAACATACTAGTTTCAATTACAGTTTATTTATATATTTAGTTAATCATTATATGATTGCTTTATCAAAATATTATGAATATACTAAATTATGTCGTATAACATTTAACATAGATCTATATTCGCTGGAGTAAAAGTTGAACTGATAAAATTAGTGCTGTTATTAAGTAACCGAATCACATTCATGCGCAGCGAAATGGTCAAACGTTAATCCCCCAACAAGGTCCCCACAAGTTACTGATGATATATATTATGTAATGAATTTCCCTAAACTGAAAAGTATGGTAATGTGTACGTAAAGCTGGTTGGCCCAAGTGCACTTTTTATTAATGTACTCTTTTATTTATAAAAGTAGAACTTTTTATTAATGTACTCTTTTATTTATATAAGGAGATTATTTCAAAATATACAGATGATTTTTTTTCTTTTGTCTTGTTTTAAATACACATGAACATGTGAATACCAATACTTGTATCTATGCAATTTTTAGCATTATTTGACGATATTTATCAGTCGTTTCTTGCGAAGAAAAAATGTATATCCTTATAAAAAATCTGCAGTGTTCCTGTCATGAAAACTAAGTGATGCTATGATATTAAAAGTAACAAATGATATCTCTATATATTGACAGAGTAGCCGTAAACGCTCGTTATAGTTAGTAATAGTCATTGTTTGTTTATGGATTTGAATCAACAATATCATAACAAGAACATGAACAGGTGTGACGACATCTCATCTAAGTACAGTAATATCACCTCGTAACTTCTGTGTTGTGTCTCAAATCTCCCAGCTAATTAACGTAAGCTGTATCAAACCCTTAGCTTTCTACACTCGATGCCATTTTTATATTACATTAAGACTTGGACATTAATATTCTATACTCTTATAGAAATGGCTTTATATAAGTTGTATAACTTGTGTCTAATCCATTTGCATTATGGCAATAAAACAGGTTTAAATCAAATCTCTCTGGCTAAAACAGTATATGACCGGTTCCTTCTGCTGAACAAAGCCAGACTCCCCTATCGTACCGTACTGCGCCACATCTATCCCGAATAGACAGCACCACACATGTCAGTCCCCGAAGCTACAGTATATTCTAATTATCTGTATGTACAGTTAGGCAGTTCAGTTTATGTATCCAATATCCACGTAACCCCTTACATTGAATTAGCTGAGAGATTGATTTATGTTAATTATACCTGTAATATATCATCCCATAATGCCGGCGGGGTCATCCTCCGTCAGTTATTTGCCCCGTACCTTTGCCCTAAACCAGCATGTGCAGTAACGCAGTTTGGCCAATATGAACTTCAGAAATAATTTACTCTAGTAACGAATTCCAAAACCAACACAGCACCTTTGCTAACCACTCTCCCACCATCAAAGCAACATGCTTTGTTTCAGTTTAGTGGAGAGCACTTTGTCAAAATACAAAGTACATATTTATACAATTGAAGTGTGTAGTGTTTTAGTCGCAAACAATATTTTCTCGTGAAAGTCGTAGACATTGTTGTCTTCCGTTATGTACAGTATACTCTATAACCTGTACCAAAGTCGTGGACATTGTTGTTATTGGTATGTACAGTACAGAGGGTTAGGGTTAAGACATTCTTGTTATTGGTATGTACAGTACAGAGGGTTAGGGTCAAGACATTGTTGTTATTGGTATGTACAGTACATACCAATAACAACAATGTCTTGACCCTTACCCTCATATACTGTACCTACAACTAACAACAATGTCTTAACCCTACCCCTCATATACTGTACATATCAATAACAACAATGTCTTACCCCTACCCCTCTGTACTGTACATCCCAATAACAACAATGTCTTAACACTTACCCTCATATACTGTACATCCCAATAACAACAATGTCTTAATCCTAACTTTCATATACTGTATATACCAATAACAACAATGTCCTGACCCTAACCCTCATATATTGCACATACCAATAACAACAATGGCTTAACCCTAACCCTCATACACAGTACAGAGGGTTAGGGTCTAGACATTGTTGTTATTGGTCTGTACAGTATATGAGGGTTCGGGTTAAGACATTGTTGTTATTGGGATGTACAGTACAGAGGGGTAGGGTTAAGACATTCTTGTTCTTGGTATGTACAGTACAGAGGGTTAGGGTGAAGACATTGTTGTTATTGGTATATACAGTATATGAAAGTTAGTGTTAAGACATTGTTTTTATTGGTATGTTCAGTATATGAGGGTAAGGGTCAAAACATTGTTGTTATTGGTATATACAGTATATGAAAGTTAGGATTAAGACATTGTTGTTGTTGGTATGTACAGTATATGAAAGTTAGGATTAAGACATTGTTGTTATTGGTATGTACAGTATATGAGGGTTAGTGTTAAGACATTGTTGTTATTGGTTTGCACAGTATATGAGGGTAAGGGTTAAGACATTGTTGTTATTGGTATGTACAGTATATGAGGGTTAGGGTTAAGACATTGTTGTTATTGGTATGTACAGTATATGAGGGTTAGGGTTAAGACATTGTTGTTATTGGTATGTACAGTATATGAGGGTTAGGGTTAAGACATTGTTGTTATTGGTATGTACAGTATATGAGGGTTAGGGTTAAGACATTGTTGTTATTGGTATGTACAGTATATGAGGGTTAGGGTTAAGACATTGTTGTTATTGGTATGTACAGTATATGAGGGTTAGGGTTAAGACATTGTTGTTATTGGTATGTACAGTATATGAGGGTTAGGGTTAAGACATTGTTGTTATTGGTATGTACAGTATATGAGGGTTAGGGTTAAGACATTGTTGTTATTGGTATGTACAGTATATGAGGGTTAGGGTTAAGACATTGTTGTTATTGGTATGTACAGTATATGAGGGTTAGGGTTAAGACATTGTTGTTATTGGTATGTACAGTATATGAGGGTTAGGGTTAAGACATTGTTGTTATTGGTATGTACAGTATATGAGGGTTAGGGTTAAGACATTGTTGTTATTGGTATGTACAGTATATGAGGGTTAGGGTTAAGACATTGTTGTTATTGGTATGTACAGTATATGAGGGTTAGGGTTAAGACATTGTTGTTATTGGTATGTACAGTATATGAGGGTTAGGGTTAAGACATTGTTGTTATTGGTATGTACAGTATATGAGGGTTAGGGTTAAGACATTGTTGTTATTGGTATGTACAGTATATGAGGGTTAGGGTTAAGACATTGTTGTTATTGGTATGTACAGTATATGAGGGTTAGGGTTAAGACATTGTTGTTATTGGTATGTACAGTATATGAGGGTTAGGGTTAAGACATTGTTGTTATTGGTATGTACAGTATATGAGGGTTAGGGTTAAGACATTGTTGTTATTGGTATGTACAGTATATGAGGGTTAGGGTTAAGACATTGTTGTTATTGGTATGTACAGTATATGAGGGTTAGGGTTAAGACATTGTTGTTATTGGTATGTACAGTATATGAGGGTTAGGGTTAAGACATTGTTGTTATTGGTATGTACAGTATATGAGGGTTAGGGTTAAGACATTGTTGTTATTGGTATGTACAGTATATGAGGGTTAGGGTTAAGACATTGTTGTTATTGGTATGTACAGTATATGAGGGTTAGGGTTAAGACATTGTTGTTATTGGTATGTACAGTATATGAGGGTTAGGGTTAAGACATTGTTGTTATTGGTATGTACAGTATATGAGGGTTAGGGTTAAGACATTGTTGTTATTGGTATGTACAGTATATGAGGGTTAGGGTTAAGACATTGTTGTTATTGGTATGTACAGTATATGAGGGTTAGGGTTAAGACATTGTTGTTATTGGTATGTACAGTATATGAGGGTTAGGGTTAAGACATTGTTGTTATTGGTATGTACAGTATATGAGGGTTAGGGTTAAGACATTGTTGTTATTGGTATGTACAGTATATGAGGGTTAGGGTTAAGACATTGTTGTTATTGGTATGTACAGTATATGAGGGTTAGGGTTAAGACATTGTTGTTATTGGTATGTACAGTACTGAGGGTTAGGGTTAAGACATTGTTGTTATTGGTATGTACAGTACAGAGGGATAGGGTTAAGACATTGTTGTTATTGGTATGTACAGTATATGAGGGTTAGGGTTAAGACATTGTTGCTATTTGTATGTACAGTTTATGAGGGTTAGGGTCAAGACATTTTTGTTATTGGTATGTACAGTATATGAGGGTTAGGGTTAAGACATTGTTGTTAATGGTATGTACGGTATATGAGGGTCAGGGTTAGGGTTAAGACATTGTTGTTATTGGTATGTACAGTATATGAGCTTTAGGGATAGGGTTAGGGTTAATACACTGTTGTCTTCCGTTTAATCATTTGATGCATTGTTCAAATAACTAAAAATATTGTAAATATGTACAGTATATTTAGTGATTTTGTTCGCCTGCATATTTCGTTAGGCATCAGATAAATATTTAAAGGAATCTTGCAGTTTATTCTTAGCAAAAAAGCAATAACAACCGATTGTTGTTTACCGCCAGGCATTTGGTTTTATCATCGCATTCTACCATATTATAAATATTGCTTTTTAGGACAGTGACAAAAGATGAAAAACGGAAATTACACGGCGATATGGTCCGAGAACTAAACGATGAGCTTGGCAGCGGTATGGTAAAAAATTGGGCATCATTCAAAAATAACATGAAATATAAACTGGATTTCGGTGAAGCTGTACTGGGGGATATCACTGATATGTATAGCGCCTGTAAAGAAATGATGGCCAAAGGAAAAATCGAAATTGGAAAATACGATAAGCTGATAGAAGTTGTGGAAGATGTCGACAAGAAGCTAGTTGATATCATCAACAAGTACTTAGAGAAGATGGGTATCGAATCGACCCCATAACGGAGGCGCACAAGATCTGATTCTTTGCAGATGACCGTATGTATTCACAATATACTGTTTTACAAATCCTCCAACTCCTTGCTGACGTTGTCTTGATATGTATAGTGTTTATCAACGCTTTAACTGTTGACTAGTTTATAAACAAAGCGTTCATGTTTCTATTGAATATCAGTTACAGTTCATCTTTTGAGTGAAATATAATTACAGATCTTTACCTTATAGATGGCATAAGTCATCGCATGTGTTGAAATATAACGTGTATGATCAAGAAAAAAACCTCTTTGGATGCCACAAAATATCTTAAAATCATCAAGAAGTACTGAATTGACAGCTTTATTTTTACCTTAAACCAATCATACATGTACTTATGTAACTTAGTGATTCTTTTTTACCTTAAACCTATCATACATGTATTTATGTAACTTAGTGATTCTTTTTTACCTTAAACCTATCATACATGTATTTATGTAACTTAGTGATTCTTTTTTACCTTAAACCTATCATACATGTATTTATGTAACTTAGTGATTCTTTTTTACCTTAAACCTATCATACATGTGATTATGTAACTCAGTGATTCTATTTTAGAAAATGCCTTAATTTTTCGCTTGAATCACGGATTAATCGTGATCAGTAACATGATATATATTGTATATATTATCTTCGAAAGTCTAGGAGTCACGCTCTCTTCCTATCCCTAGACCACTTAAAACGTTGTAACGAAAAACAAAGTCTCTGTACCTACCACTTCGTGGAGGATACCAGAAAGCTAGTTTGCTCTTCTAATGTACGTTGAAATCACCGTACGGCTGCGTTACGGTTAAATTAACCGTCTTTGAAGTTTGGGGTTTGTTCTTCTGTAACATTCAAAGGAAATTGTTATTCTAGCGATCGAACAATTACTTTTACAGGAACAAAATCAAATAACTAACCGCGTGCCTTCAATTTTTGTTATGACATATTCCAGGGGTGCGTAGAATGTGAGCTAACTGCTTTCATTTCGAGGACGCAAAAATCCCAATTTGCAATAAAACTGTTTTTAGGGAAAGCAGCCCTACATACTCTCCTCTCTTGACATTCCCTTCTGAAACTAATATACAGTGAAGGGCAAGGCAAATCCGTCAGTTGGTGTATTGAAGCTGAACGGGGTAGCCGTATTTTTTAGCAGATTTTGAGAAATAAAAAAAAGTCTTCTAATAATAAAATAAAAAACGTGTCTTGAATATGAATAGAAAACTCTATATTGTTTTCTGAACTGTTTCAATATGCATGGAAAATGATTAACAGTTTATGCAGCATATCAGTATAATTTTGACAAAATATCTGATGCAGTTTGAATAGTAAAATATTCATTTTAGCTTTCAATATCTCTCAACAGGTTGCCAGAAATATTGGATATCAGCGGATTTCAAATGATGTGATTGACGTAATGTCCGTTTGAAGAGGTATTAAAATATACCACGTGGTTAGCGCCAACCGTCCGGTGTGTTTAATGTCTTTGATCCACACCATACATCACCAGGAAGTCTCATTATTATACTTCAGATATTATTGTACATACTGCAACAGTTGCGAACTTGGTATCTTTAATGGCAGCTAGCTATAAGTGATAAAAGCTTAGTTAGATAAAGCATGGTGTGACTTCGGTATACATTGGTGATCTCGATAAAGATAAAGGAAGCGAGAAGACGAAGTCATGAAAACAAAGGGATCAGCCCAACTTCTCTGGACAATAAAGATACATTTATAGCTTAAATCTCATTAGTGTTTGGACTGTTTAATAGATTGGAAATTTACGTTAGGTTGCCTTTTAACTTAAAAGGTCTTGAACAACTTGGCAAAGATCATCTTGTTTTCCCCCAAGGTAATGTTTAGTGATCATAAACTGAAAGTGCGTTTCGAGATTTTGTCAATGTTTGGCTTTTAAACCCTTTTGTTGCACAAAGCAACCAAATCCTATTTAAATCAAGCTTTTGGATGCCAGTCGCGTTAGTTGTTGCTAACAAGACACTGATAAAACCTGGGAGATTCGTGCTGCTTACTAAGCACTAGATGATTTAAATAGGTATATGGTAATTTCGGTGTTTTTATTAATGACATTGCTTTTCTTTTTAGCTTTGTTTGTTTGTATCTGCACATATGTATACACACTCATGAGGGTCGCCTGCGTAATTGCTATTTTTATTATACACCAGTGCATTGAGTGACTATCATTTTATTTTTGTCAAGCGTTACATGTTGTATAAAGTAGTAGGTTTTCATCTTTGAAAATTGTTTTATAATGCATAGATTTTTCTTGTCCTATTATTGTCTTAGAGACAAATTTGAGTATGTTTCGGGTACCTCGCAATGCTCTCCGTCAAGCATACTAAAAATAGATAAAGTATTACCGATACACAATCTTACACCATGGGAATTGTGTAAGAACGCGTACTTAAGAAATAAAGCTTCCTATACAAACACACAAATTGACTTACGGGAAGACATGGGACCAGACGACCACAAAAATGTCATAGATGCAGTGCATGGAATGGACACTTATGTGTGTTGTGTACCGGCCTCACAAGTACATATCACGTGCTTACACAAATTAAAAAAGAGTTACGCTCTGTCGAATAAATTAATATTGCAAAGGTAGTGCTCTTACTCTGTGAAAATAGTGTTTTGTAAAATATTCCTATGAAAATGCATGTATATGTGCACGTGAGAACGCCATACCAAGCGATAGTTTCTGGTTACATACCTGACATTTTTATATACCATGTATAAGCGGGCTGTGGAATGATGTTCCGTGTGTACATGATTGAGAGCAATTTGGTTACAAAAAGGAACAATAAATGTTGGCATTTTTCTGTTGATACAGTTTTTATATCATAACTTTCATTTTTGATATATGTTAAGGTAGCTAACTATCATTGTGTACATGTTATCCCCTTGCAGAAAGTTCCGATATTTTTTCAAGGAAGACAACTCTTATCAGGTTCATTTTTTTGGTAAAATGTAAAATAAATGAAAAATAGAGCAACTGTGTATCTTTTATTCAAGTTTTTACTCATTTTGTACGAAACTGTATATCATGTTTTCTAGTAGATAGTCGCTTTTATCCATACAATTTAATAAATAAAATAATTAACTTTTTATATTGTGTTTTATATATTTTGTTATCAATAAAATATTTGTAGGGTTAATTAGCAAAGTTTATTTTCATATTTTATTGTTTTTATACTTCCAAACAATGAAACACACCCACAAAATGGAAAATTTTAAAATAGACAAAACCTGGGTTTTTTTGGCATTTGTTTAAAAAAATGAATGTTTAGATTTACAAAAACAATTCTTTACATTGTTGCATAACCTATAAATGAACGTTTTAACGAATTTTGCTGGTTGCCACAGGGTAGAGCCTTGCTAATAATTACAAAGATCCAAATGAGAAACGTTTCTTTCCGGAACTTGATGCTACATGTAACAGAACATGATACCTTTTCAACAAAAAGAGAATGCATGCATTGTCCATGTTCTTATACATAATCGTTTGGCACAACTTATTTTAGGTAACTGTTAATAGAAATAGTAAAACGAAGTCATAATTCGAACTCGGCATCGATGAAACTAACAAAACAAGAACAAAGACAAAAATGCATGGTAACCCTTGATAAACGTACTAGATAATTACAAGTTAATGGTCTTGTGCTTTACCAACATCTGTCATGTAACTTTAGGTCAAAGCTAAGCCACGTCTCGCTCTGAACGAAGGAACTGGGATAGTGTGAACATCGATATTCGTATCACATATAAAACACTTAGAGTTAGGTTATCTTCTAAAATAAATGACAACAGATTGCCAGGATCCTTGCAAATTAAACACTTGTTGTCATATATGATGTAAATTGGGACAGGCCTCGAGTAATTGTGTATACAAACGCTGTATCGGCATGCTATGATACGAAATAACATTATCATTTGGAATAATATATTCTCAAAACATTCTGTAGGCATTCTCAACCTCTCGGGTATAACCATACTTCCATGGAGTAATTGTGAATATAAACGCTATATAGATATTCTATGATACAAAATAACATTGTTGTGTGGAAAAAAAACACTTCTCAAATTATCATCTAGTCATTCTCAGCTTCCCATGTTTAACAATACTAACTATTCGTGGTGACGGGTTAATCACGCCACCCACACATATATAGGTGCTATATTCCGTCTTTGCGTATTGCAGAGTTATCTTCTCTTAGGAGCAGGTATTGATTGTTACGTCACTTGTTTGTGAGAGTAACGTCATCAATTTTTGCGAAAACGACGTAATTTTCTCACACAGGCCAATGACGTAACAATCAATACCTGCTCCCAAGAGAAGATAACTCTGCAATACGTAAAGACGGAATAGTAGTATTAAGATACTAATTATACATATGTAGCGAACGATTCAAACGCATTGATGACAGTTTCTATCTCTGAAGTGTTTTGCTCAAATTTAATTGGGAAAGTTAAGAATTGGATAATTGATCTATTCAGTTCAGGTGTCAAATCAAATTTGTATTTGGTGAAATAAAGATTGAATTTGTATAGTCATCTTGAAAAATAACTTAATGTATTATTTTTCTGAATTAATACTGTGTACATGTACCTTTGGGACACTGTAACGCTATTTTCCTGTCTACAATTAGTTCACGACCTACGCCTGCAGGCGTTATTAAAATATATTTCAATTATTTGACAACAATGAATTCATGCCCTGCGATTAAATTGCAAGAAACAATCTCAATTAATAGAAAAAAAATAGATTAAATTAAGAAGACAACATGAAAACATTACTTCAGCAAACGATGCGTCTTAAATGATTTTACGAAATGTTGGTTGAATCCACCAGCTACTTGAGTTTTAATGTCTTAATTTAGCCGTTCCTAATGGCCCTGCCCCGAAGACAACGGAGTGGTCACCGCTTGTGCGAATTAACTCCTAATTACTTTCGTTTTACGAAATTAAATCCACTAGTAACTTCAATGTTGTCACTGATTGATCCTGTATGTACATGCCCGGAAGACCCCTGAGGAGGTCACTTCATATTTGAGTATAAATTGTATTCCTTACCATCTTTGGATCGTTTTAAGACAGTATATTTTCGGAGAAGATGGAATTTGGTAGTCTTTTGCACTTAATGACTATCAATCCTAAGGCTCCTTCCAAAGACCTGTGGTTGTTAGCCTCTTCCACATTATGAATTCTGATCCTCGTCACCTTAGGATCATTTGTCGGAAGGTTGGTGATGATTCAAAAGTAAATAATAGAGGAGATGCCATTAGACGGTTTTGCATGCGGTGATCCCTTTTGACCCTGTTCTAAAGCCCCTAGTGTAGAGTTCAGCTTCTTCCTGAGTATATGTACGGATTATTTCATGCAATGGATACAAACCAATTGTAAGTATAAGAGGAAATGCCACTCGAAGGTTTTGCATGCGGTGATCCCTTACGGCCCCAACCCTCAGCCCCCTGGGGTTAACAACTACTTGGGTATATATTCTGATCCCAACCAAAAACTGACGACTTCACAAGAATCTAATTGACTTCCGAAGAGAAGCCAAAAACATTATTATTTACACGACGCACAACGACGGTTTAAAGGCAATCGCAATAGCTCACCTGATTGACTCAATTTACCTACAAACCCTAGTCTAGCATATATATAGACTCTCATACATAAATCAACATAAACCTCCATATAATAGATAATTTAAATATCTATGTTCTATGTAGATACAAACATCTGACATGTATGTGTGTTCTTGGTGTCAGGTTATCGTGTCGACCCTACCACGCAGTCTTTCTTGTATCGTTATATATAGAGGTTGTTAATATGCTTGTCAAACTCGAGTTGAAAATTAACTTATGGGAATGAGATAAAAAATATAAAATAACAATAATAAGTAATAGAGTGGGGGAGATGTTACATGTTCCTTACTAGTGAGAAAACATTGACAAACTCCTAGCAGGTTTGTTCCATGAATCAAGAGTAAGAACCCTTAAGTGCAACCCATGCTCTTCACATAACACGATCTTCTTAAACAAAGCCCTGCTTCTATGAACCATAGTTTGTTTAACCTTTAATACCACCATATTTTCTTTAATGGTTTCCTCTTTAAAAGATTCCTATGTAACCCTAGTATTTTAATACAGCCAACGATCTCAATTTATGGTTTCTTTTGCATACATAGTCATTGCTTTTATATATTATCACCTGAACGGATATTGTTCGAATGAAGCATCAACTCAGTCCCTGTGTCACAATACATATATGGTTTTGATCACCACTCTATTAATACCGCCTGTTATAACATTATACAGGAACATCAACTCAGTCCCTGTGTCACAATACATATATGGTTTTGATCACCACTCTATTAATAACACCTGTTATAACAGTATACAGA